TACTACATACCCAATATACATAACCATTATTTCGGTCGATTGAGTGAGGCATGTAGAAGATTATTAATGGACACGATGAGCCAGGAGGAAGGATGAAAAAGCGGTGGTGCCGGCGGCGGATTGTGATTAGTTCCATGGGACGGGCCAGATCCATGAGAGGGAGACTTAGGTAGCTCCGGATATACTCTCTTGTCCTTCACCACGGCTCTTGCATTTGCAATATTGCTACTGGCAAAACCTAAAATCAGTAGTGCAAGCAAAAGTATTGCAGATGGAGGTTTTTGGCCAACCATTTTATAGTCCTTCAAATTTGATTTATTCTAATAATTCTGTTCTCTCTTGCATGGCCTTTAAATAGATGAGGAGAGTATATTGGCGAGGGAAAGGTTGAATAAATGTAATTGCTTTCATTTAGAAGAGTATTAAAATTTTCATTAATCCAAGCTGAATTGGTGTGTATGGATCACGTGAACCCAAAGTCGATCTAATTAATAATTATTAGTGGAAATTACACAATGTAATCTATTCAAATTCTAATGAATTTCATGAATTTAAAACGATATTCACATAATCTAAAAAAATCTCATTAAAAATGGTGAAATTTCTAATGTTGTCCTCAACTGAAATTTTAATGATTTTAAAAGCCCCTCTAATAGGGGTATTCTCAATTGAAATTTTGATGAATTTAAAAAATCTTTCTAAATTCAAATGTCCCCATGAATTTTAATGACATATAGGTGTTTTTAATTGAAATTTATTTCAATTAAATTCTTTAAATTTACATATTCTCAATAACTCATGAATTTATAAGAATTTCGTTATTAAATAGACTGATTTCAAAAGATTTGGATGGATTTCAAACTTAAAAATACATTTAACAATCCCTTTTCAAGATTTCACTATTTTTAAATGAGATTCTTATGAATTTTGTAGAAATCTATTAATATTCACAAAATTCATTAGAATTTATAATATTTTAAAGTCTATCAAAATCTCAGTTAAAGAAATTAGGTACTCTCAATTAGGGATGGTAAAAATACTCGTCAAACTCGATATACATGGGCCCCACCTCGAACGGAGCGAGAATTACCTGTTTAATCGAGTAATTGGGTCGAATACGAGGTGGGAAATTTTGCATCAAGACGGTATTCGTTATACCATACTTTAACTCCAGTTAAACTCCTCAATCTTTAGTCACTGGAGCAATTATTTCTCTAACTTTTTCCATCAAATTCTTACTCGACCCTTCCATTAATTAGCATATTTCATCCTTAATAATGATTCATATATAAGATATTATTTATTTCATACTTTAAGATGAGGATTTTTTTTTCACTTGTTTATTTTTTGAAAATATGATGGAAATATAAGTTATTTTACACCATTTCAACGAACTTGAGCATAAACTGTTATCAAATATAAAATGAACGAACTAATGAAAGTTTGAGAATAAGAATGATATGAAAAAGTGTAAAGGACATAAATAATAAAATGTACAAAGATTAAGAACCCTAAGTACAATTGAAATTTGGTGTAAGAAATAAAAATTGTGGAAGGAATATAATTATCCTTCACTAAAATCTCAGTGTTTTCAATTAAGATTTTAATGAATTTCAATAAAATTATTTAAAATTTAAGCATCCTCAATAACTCGTGAATTTATAAGAATTTAATAAATTAGATTTCAAGTTTAAATACAAATAACAAACTCTTTGCTTTAACAAATTTAAATCTTAATTGAGATACCTGAATTTAGAAGGATTTTCAAAATTCATTAAAATTTTAGTTGACACACCGTGCACAGTGGGCACCTATATAGTACAATTCAGCTCAAGCTTCAGAACCATTAATACCACCAAATCCATAGCTGGGCACCACCATAGCTAGCGAACACCCCCAAATTGATCTCATTTCTCAAAAGTGTTAAAATCCCTGTGACCCACCACTACAACTGTACCACCTATTGCCAGTAAAAATTTTACAATTCAAAACCCTAGCCTCCACCTCCGCGCTCGCCACTCACGACTATAACCACCATTCATCGTCACCATCTTTTTGCTTACGCTCCACCCACCTGACATTCACCAATGCCAATTTGTATTTTTTGGGATGTGTGATTAGGAATATGCTATATGTACATCGATGGTTACATATTGCATTATATAATGTCACATAATGTTTTATTATTTGCCTGCTTAAAATATAGCCAACTTTTTATCTAATTATTTTCCTCCATATCATTTTAGATCACTGCTTCTGACAAGTTTTACGGTACAAACAGCAAAATCCATGTGATTAGGGAAGACCACAAATCACTACATTATAAAATCACATTTCAAAATTGACAAACTACCTAAAATCTTTCATAAATCAGGGGGTAAAGAAAAAATAAAAAAATATATTATTATAATATAATATGCACTATTTTTGGAGAAAAAAAAAATACTAATCTGCTCCAAATAAGTAAATATACCATATTTAAATATATTTCTCACCTTTCTCACAAAATCAAATCTGATTTTCTCTCTCTAAACAACAAGCTTCCTGAAAAACTCTCCAAAACCACAAAAACTTCATCGCGATTCCTCAATTTCGAGTTAAAATCAATCAATATAGTCACAATTTTGTTGAAATACTTCTGATTTTCATTGTTATGGAGAAGTTGAAGTTCGGATATGGAGGAATTGGATTTTCTCTGAACAAAAAATGAAAATCCGTAATTGTCAAAACTCTCCAAAATCACGAAAAATATACTGTTAATTGTTGATTTCAAGCTACAATCATCCAATGAAGTCACAATTTTGTTGACATAGTTCTGACTTTCATTTTGGAGAAGTTGAAGCTCGACAAAAGGGTATTGATTAGAATTTTAAGGTTTTTTTCTTACATTTCAAGTTATCGTTCAATTTACTCTTTTTTTATACATGTTGAAGCTCGGCAAAAAATACGTGTGTAACTGTTTATACAGTTATAAACATGCTGATCTGTGACTAGCTGTAACCGTTTATGTAATTCATTCATATTGATACATGATTATGTTGGCCGTGACTAGTTGTGACTATGAAATTGAATAGATTGTGACCTATTTGTTAAATATCTTGACAGTCCATATGTGGAAATAGTTTGATCTATGATCAATGTCATCGCATTAAAAGTTGACTCTATGTGACCTTATATTTGTTCATTGTATGTGAATATATTGACATTAAATATGGACTTTTGTGACATGTATTGATGTATCTTTACTTCTTGATCTGTGACCTGTATTAACCAACGTCATTGCATCTGAATGTTTCCTAATTTTAATGAATAAAGTGTGACATGCTTTTATTTGTTTGTGATAAGGGATGACAATTATTCACGTATGCCTGTTATATGGAAGTCACACGTCACTTATAGTAGTGAATGATACATGCAAGTATGATGAATTGGTTGAGCTTGTTGTTTTAGAGTTGGGGCTTATTCATGCAGAAGTAGCTATGAGATTGCCATATTTTTTGGATTCTACTTTACCTCCAGTCCGGATTCTAAGCAACAACAATGTCTTAACATATTTGAGGCTAAAATCTTTGGATGAAACTGTATCAAACTATTTTATTATGGTTGATGTTATCGCTACAAATTCATGTAAGTCAACATGTGCATTGCAATACCCAGACTCATCATCTACTTCCATTGAGTCATCAGCTAATGTATTTTCTTTACAACAAATAGCTTAGGATATTTGTGACTCGATTATGACGGTTGAAAAAGGAAATATTGAAGAAGATGTGACATTAGTATCTCAAGCAGATGCTAGAGAAGTAGTTGAGTGAAAAGTTTTCCGCATTAAGGAAATACCAAAAATGAGCTTGGCCTTTTATGCCAAACAAAACAAGTTTGAATATAACGTGTTAAGATTGGACAAGAAGGAGTACGTAATAAAGTATTCTCATAACGATTGCAAGTGGATATTTAGATCATCACGCTTGGGAGAAATGAAAATGTTTAAAATTAAGGAAATGTGTAGTGGTCACACATGCTCCATGAACATTGTCTTAGGATCTCATCGACAAGCATCTAGCTCAATTGTGTCCAACTGCATCGGGTACAAATACACTTCTTCACGTACAATCTATACCCCTAATAACGTCTAAAATGACATGTTAAATAGATATGGAATATCGGTGAACTACATGAAGGCATGGAGGTCATGTGAAAAGACATTAAAATTGATTAGAGGTGATCCGACAACCTCATTTCAATTGCTGCCTTCTTATTTCTTTATGCTAGAACAGATGAATATAGAGACAATCACAAGAATAGAAACAGATCATTTAGATAGATTTAAATATTGTTTTATGGCTTTGGGTGCATCAATCGCCGGTTGGAAATATTGTAGGCCAGTCATTATAGTTGATGCCACATATTTAAATAGCCACTATGGAGGTACACTCTTCACAGCTTGTACACAAGATGCAAACAACAACATCTTCATACTAGCTTTTGGGATTATAGACAACGAAAATGATAATTCATGAAGATGGTTTTTTGAGATGTTGAAGAGGGCATATGGATCGAGGGATGGGTTATGTATAGTATCGAACAGACACAATAGCATAAGAAATTCCATTGAATTTGTATATCCAGAGGCAATGCATGGGATCTGTTCATACCATTTGCTTAAAAATTTGAAGACCCATTATGTAAAATCAGGTCACAATGTCACACATGCATTCAATGCTGCTGTAAGAGCGTATACAGTAGATGAATTTGAATACAAAATGCAACAATTGGACTCAATCCATGAAGAGGTTAAAGATTATCTGGTATGTGACTGTTTGTGACTTGTTCTGTAATATTATTTTAGTGTCTGTGACCATCCGTGACCATATGTGACCATGCACGCTTAATGTATGAACTATATTTCATTTATCATTACGGTATTTTACTATAATATGGATGAAACTGAATTTATTTTGCAGTTGGAAGCAAGATATGAAAGATAGTCCAGATTACACATGCCAACAAATCGATACTTTACTATGATATCGAATATTGTTGAATTTGTAAATGCAGTCACAAAGGCAGCAAAAAAATATCCTATTGAGGAACTTCTTGAGTCATTACGACAAACGGTCCAATCATGTTTTTGCAAGAATAGAGACAATGCACATTGTACTTTTACAAAGCTTGCAACCAAGTACGAAAAGTTGCTAAGAGAAATGAGCCATGATGTGCAAAATCTAAAGGTAAAGATGGTGTTCAATATATACATTATGATGGTCACATTTATAATTGTATCTCACTTAAATTCACAATTATTACTGATTTATTTAGTTTTAGGTTTCCCCTGCAAGTCACACTTTGTTTGAAGTGCGAGATGATTCTTCATCATATATGATTGATATAACTAAACGCACATGCTGTTGTAGAATGTCTCAAGTGGGTCAACTACCATGTCCACATGCACTAGCAGTATTTGCAACATTGAAGTTTGATGTGTTTGATTTCTGTTCATATTATTACACGACTGATGCATATGTGAATACCTACAAAGAGATAGTTATGCCTGTAGGTAAAAGAGCAAAGTGGAGTTTGCCGAATGATGTAAAGAGTATAATTGTACTTGCCCCAAATCAAAAAAGAAGTTCTGACTGACCTACTGAGACGAGAAAAAAATCAGCTCCTGAGAGATCACAAGTTGTGAAATGTAGAAGATGCAGAGAATCTGGTCACAATCGTAGAACATGTAAGGACCCGTTGCCACTTAACCATAAACCATAAAAACTGAAGACAAAGAAGCAACAAAACCATTTCAAATAGCATATCACAGTTTGTTGAACATGAAAATATTTTTTGTGATTTGAAATTCTTTCATTGTTGATTAATTACCTGTGTATTTTTGGATTATAGTTTTTGAACATTTATTACAATAATTTACACTGATGTTATAAAAATAGTGAATTCTTTCACATACTTTATCATATATGAACAAATTTAGTTTAGCGTTTCAAGTTTTTGAGAGGGTCTATTAAGCTATGAATTTAGTTATATACTACTACATTGTTTATGATGTCTATGACCATCTGTGACTTTTCTGTATATTAAATGTGACCACACATGCTGGTTTGTTATGTTATGTTTAAACACTTATTGTTAACTGTTTTATTTTTGACCAAATTATCCTCGTAATGTCTCACCATTTTAATTGGATAAAAAACATAAATTACGAGGATTATAGTTTTTGAACATTTATACTTAACCTATATTATGCTATTAACCGTGGCTTAGATATTAAAACCTTCAAGGTAATTTATATGTTGGTATAATTTGTGACTAATTGTCATCAATTGTGACCTGTGTATTTTGATATGAATAATATCTGTTCGAATGTGACCCTTTGTGACCTAATTTTAATTGTCATCATAGCATGTTCACAAACATAAAATACATATTTTGTCTACAAGCAAACATAATGTACTATGATGAATGTATTTTGCTGTTAACGATGGCTCATGTAAAATATTAAAACCTTTAAAGTAATTTACGAGTAAGTATAGTTTGTGACTAATTATCATCGTTTACGACCTGCGTATTTTAATATGAATAACATTTGCCTGGATGTGACCAGTTCTGACCTAATTTAAATTGTCATACCCTGTTCACAAACATAAAATACATATTTTGTCTACCAACAAACATAAAGTACTATGATGAATATAAAATATAAAAACAAATATTCACCCACTATACAATTTTGTTGAAAAATATCAACAATTAATACCAAATTAATACCAAAAACATCCACAAGGAAATCCATCATCAACAAAGTGTATTTTCCAATATACATCTACCACTAAATCATTTCAGTCAACATTTCAATCATTCATCAGACATTGTTTTGTCTCTTCCACTATTCAAGGTTGCAAGTTCCATCTTAGCTTTCCCAGCATCAAATGACATAGGCATCTTAGCAATATCATTGTGTAACAAAAATTGTGCATACTTGATCATAAGAACGGCGCAATCATGCCTACAATATTTACATAAAATAGCTATAAGTAACTACGAAAGAATGTTGAAATTGTTATTGTTTGTAAAATCAACACAGGCAATCTTATCCATTTTGTTACTGGGATAAACCAGGTGTAATGTTTACACTCAGCTCCCTGGAGTGTTTATCTCCACCATCAGTAGTTTCCACCCACAAACCAACAAATTTCATCAAATGTGTAGGTATTACCCCTTTATAAACCATGTTGTCCCTATATGTTTTGTCATTGGAATTGAAAATGTATAGGACACGTTTATTAATATCCAATTGTCCTAGCATCTAGTGAGCCCGATTTGTAGGCATGATCGACAGAAGTACATACTCAACCTCTCTCCAAGGTGTATTAAATGTTAGTCTTTCACCATTAATGGTTTTGAGAAGATCCCGCTTCTTATTGACAATACTTGGGTCTTTCACAAAATTGGGGTATATACTCCGGATTGACATGTTGAAAATGCAGTCCGCGGTCGTTGCCTTCATCTTTACATCACCCCCCAATTTTGCAAGTTCTCGATTGTAATGAAAGCACGCATCCAAGTGCTATCATGAATAAAAAATAAGATGCATAATGTGACATATTTCCATATGTGAAAAATGTTTGCACTATCATACCGTGCTATTCAGTGAAGAATCAAAATCGATCAACGCATGCCACCAAATCTTTTGATGGACAAGGACTGTCCCACATGCAAATGGTAGACTTATCACGTTGTCTATGTCATTGAATTTGGCCCTATGTACACATATACACAGTTAATCTGCGATCAAAGTCTAAAACTATTAATCTCTTACCAAAACCGTTAATCTGTGTCCAGAGTAATATTATTTTGTGACCAGAACTGTTAATCTGTGACCAGCACTGTCATAGTCACAAAATTTAATAATAGGTCACAGTAACAATGTTAAGTAATATTAACAAATTTAATATACATTGAATGTACCTATTTCGGGGCTTGTATCCCCTATTAAACCAATTTCGAAAAGAAATTATGTCAGCACTATCTACTTTGTTTAAATAGTTTTTGAGAACAATGTTCCCAAAATCAGATTTTGTTCCAGTCACAGTATGGCGTGCATGAATATTAACAAACGGAGACTGCAGAGTTTTGGATGGCTCGTGCGCCCTCTTGACGGGTAGCCCAGAAAAAAATCGGAGTAGGTGTAACGTCCTGAGCCTAAAATAAAAAAGACCATAAATTAGCATAAATTATTAATTTGACTGCAACAAATTAATTATAATTTGACAATGTTTATGTACGTCTCACCTCTTCCTTATCAACTTTAGTCAAATGTAACACGCATGCAATGATTTCATCCACTTGGTCTTGCACTTCTTTCGTTGCAAAAAATGAGTCATCAACATTTGTCTGACTTTGACTCTGTGTGCCACCAATGCCAAGATCAAAGGAAGGACCTGCAAAATTGTATTCAGTGGAGGATGTTGTGACCACGATCAGGTTCCATTTGACCTTTAGCTTTCGTATCAGTCATGTCATCAGCCTTTTGTTCCTGTCTCTAGAATACAAAATTGATTTAGTAGAAATGGTATGAAAGTTACTTGAATGATAAATATTCATTGGTATTTATTTGCTTACCCCAAAAGGTCCTTTTCCAGTTAATTTTGTATGTACATCATCCATAAATGAAGATAAGATATCAGAAACTGAACCAACAAAGGTTTCCAGAGTCGGTCTGATGTTGGTGAACCCATCTTTCAGTACCTTTTGATTACGAATAACCTCACTCAACTTTGAAGAGGTGTTTGAATTACACGCAGTGTCATCAATTTCAGTGAGATGTAATTTCATGGACTAAATCTCATCTCTCAGTCCTTTATTTTCAACACGAAGCCTATTTATCTCCACATCTACTTTCTTGTTCAATCGATCGCAAACCTGATGGATTTTACAGTTAGATGGCTTGTATCAATATGCTTATTCAATTTATTAATAAAGAAATACTTACTTGAACACATGAACAATTAGAATGATGCATAGGTCAAGTCTGAGCTCCAGACCTCGACTGGCAGCTTCCTTCTGTCGTTTCGGTGGTGGATCCACAAAATCATCATCTGTCGTCTCCACATTTACCTTTGCCCGTGGTATATTTTCATTATGTATCTTTGTCTACGGTACACCAACATACAGAACTATTGCTAATGAAATAACCTTGGTGTCAGTAGAGGGGAGTGGACTGCCTTTTGCCCAACTCATTTCTAGAGTTCTTAACTTTCTCGTGAGGCTCCTTGGGCTTTGAATATTGCAAATCTGTCATCCAACAAATACAAGTGGTATGAATCAGTTTAGACAGAGGCATAAATTAGGTCACATGATATCTAATAGAAAGTGATTAGTACATTTTACATTTCAGTACTTAGGTCACATAATAGTGAGTCACATGTTTCAGTAACATTAAAAACTACATGTCATCTAACATTATAGTAACATTATAATATTTTATTCACATAACAAAAATTCACAAGATTCAGTTCACATTATAACAGCATTTAAAACTAACGAACTAAAGGTCACAAATATATTTTATTTCATGTCACAGTATATCTAAATTTCAAATTTCAAACATCTCATGTAAGGCGTCGTGAGCTCAACATCAGTCGGGTCAATATAATTTATCTCACCCTGGTACATACAAGTTTTAAAAATTTTAGACATGTGTTGTATCTTAAATTTGGTTACATGACAAATCATAATGAATTTAAAAACTTACATTCTCACTTGAAAACACCTTCTCACCCAACAATGCTGCAGAAGGGTGTTTGTGAGTACTCCAATTCATTATGTGGGGTATTTTTTACCCACACGTGCAGCCACATTCCCCTCAATACCAGGCAAACATTCGTACAACCACACTTGAAAAGCAATTAAAAAACCAGACAATCTGTAGTGACTGGTTTCTTTCTCCAAACCTTTCTTCAGCAACGATAATGTAAGTTCAAAAAGATATTTCCCCCAAGGGAACAGCTATAGGGTGTTGAAATCATCAGCAAGTGAAAAGATATAATGATCCACCACCTTAGCATATGCCGTCACAAACAAAGAATTGGCGATGAGGAAAATGATACCTAGTCTAGCCACATCATACTCGGAAGCATCCTCATCCAGTGACGCAAATACTCTTCTCACATCATGGCTGGTTATCGTCTTTAAGTCACTAAAATACTTCTCCTTAATTCTCGAAGGTTTTGCCTCTAACATTGGTCGATCATCAGCACCAGAATACCGGAGTCCAGTCACAATACAAAATTCAGCTACAGAAAAATGAATGAATCTTCCATTCAAATTAAACCACATTTCCAGTTTGTTTGGTTGTTTAACCTCCCGTAACAAGACCTAATGAATGAGCCGCGATTGGATGACAATCTCCTTGCAGTGCACAAAGTGGGAGAAACATGTATTTTCAAGTATCTGCTTTTGTGCATCACTGAATTTCATCACAAAATTTGTGATAACATGCTGAATAGATACAACTGTTATCTTCCTAGGGAACCATTTGCTTGGTTTTATTAAATACTTCCACTCCTACACAAATCATAAAACAAAAATTACTACGACTTCCAAATATACATGACATTTTATAGAAGTCA